GGCACACTATCATATGGACTAGCCAAAGATCTACAAACAAACTGAAATATTTAGTTGACAACACTACCCACTCCATGCGCTAAGAATTCCACATCAATCAAGGACACCAGAATAGAAGAGGATGAGATAATGATATCCTTTGATGCAACAGCACTATTTACATCCATAGACAGCAACCTGGGCAAAGAGACAATTGCCACACTGCTGGACCAAAAAAAAAGCAAAAATCAGGAAGGCAGGCATCCTGAGGAGTGCTGCATCTGTGCCTCACAACCTATTTCACTTTCAACAACCATATATTCAAAATGAAATCAGTGGAACACCAACTGGATCCCCAATTTTAGGAGTGATTTGAGAAGCTGTAATGCAAAGGTTAGAACAAATAGTGCTCCCCACTATAAAACGCAAACTCTTGGTCTGCTACACAGATGACACCTTCACGATTATCAAACACACAATACTAGCAGAAACCCACTGACAAACAACATTCTCACCAGAATACCTTCCCAAAGTTAGAACACAAGCACAATGGGGAACTCCAGACTAGTGTATACAGAAAGACCACACATATGGACCAGATACTTAATTATCCAGCAACCACCCAAACATTTGTAAAGCGGAGTTGCATCAGGACATTATTCAAACAAGCCACAAAAACACTGCTGCAACCCAGAATTGCACAAAGCAGAACGGGACCACATGGAGTTTTTAAAAGAAAGGAACGGATACCCCAAAAAACAAAACAGCACACAATCTGCCGTTACCTCCACAACAGACTACATGGCCAGACACTAGCCACCTTCCTGTACATCAGGGACAGAGATGACAAAACTAAAGATCTCTAGGTATCAGGGTAGTGCACAAACCAACAACCACCTTGTGATAGCTACTGACGGACACAAGGGATCCATACCTACAATCAATAAAACTAATGTAATATACAAAATACCATGCAAAGGACTATAATGTTTCTCATAGGCCAAAACTGGAAGAAAACTGACAATAAAGAAATGCATGAACACCAACTAGCCACATCCAATTCTCACTGGTCTCAATACACACAGACAAAGAAGGACACTAATTCAACTGGGACAACACATCCATAATAGCACAAGCCAGAGACATGCTACGGCATTCCTAGAGGTCCGGTATTCCAACCAGAAATCAGCAAACACATTGAATTGGACCAGATATACAAACCACCGAAAAACAGAACCAAAAAAGTGATGCCAACCCCCCCAAACTCAGGCATACAAACAATAAGCAGGACAGAACACTAGAGGGGGTTGCTGGACTTAAAACCTTAACTCCGATTTCTCTGCACAGCGGCTTGCAGACCTGCAAAGCTTTTCCAGCAATTCCTGTTTTCATTAGTCCAATCCTATATTGACAATGCACATTTTTTGCAATAGTATCTGCAACAAATTTCACCTCATCTGTTGTGAGCACTTGGAGGCAGTTAACAACAGAAGACACTTTGGAAGTGGCCTTACCTTGTGGTCCTGGAAATCCATTTTGAGGCCAGCCATAAGGATGCCTATCAATTCCCAACAGAGTGTACTCTTGCTCCAAACCAAACCAGGGATGAGCGTCCTTCGCTTTATCCATCGCTTCATTACATGTGTGCCTCAAGTTGCTCTCTGCAACATATACATTGGACAATCAGCTTCTCAAACCAAAAGACAATACCATACCCTGAACTTCAGAGAGCACTGCGTATGCATTCATCTGGGGAAACTGTCCTGCAAACAAACAATTAAAAAGCATTTTAAGACACACCTTCAAAAGTAACACAGATTTGTTTTCAGGATATTAAAAAAAGGGAAAGTTTCAAACAGGATTTAATCAACCTTGAGATTACAGGTTCATAATCAAAACAAAAAAAAAGTGTTTAATAAAGAACCCGAGCAGGTCTGGCAGCATCTGTGGATAGGTGAACAGCCTTGTGGAGTTTCACCAGCATGTGTCTTTTTAAATTTCCAGATTTCCGGCATCCGCAGTAGTTTGCTTTTAAATCTGAACACGGTTTCACAAACTCACCTGCCGGTTTCCGATTGTATTTCAGAACCTCACAAAGAACCAGTTTGTTCGGATCCAGGATGAAGGGATCCCGGAACATGCGGACCGGAATCAGAAACATGTCGCTGTTGGAACCTTCCGCCTGGAAGGTACTGGACCCATCAAAATTCCACTCGGGAATATCTGCAATGTGGGGGGGGGGGGGGGGGGGCCGAAGAAAAGTCAGCCGAGTTGAACAGTTATTGAAAAATGCAGAGTTTGTACGCGGTAATTTAAAAAAACTGAAACTAGACCTTTAATGGTCCGTGGTTCCGAATCCAGGGTTTTGGTTTTACAGCGAAGTCCCTCTCCAGTGCCATCGATCCATACGTAGGTCACCTGTACCTTTCCATCCTGAGGCAATTTCAGGTACTGCTCCCTCACGGTTTTGTTCAACTTGGAACTTACAGCCACAGACATCTCGACTTCTGAAGAACAAAAACAGCAAAGTTATGTTCATTTACAGCCACACGCGCTCTCTCAAAAGTCAAAGGTACTCATCACTTTTTTCCTACCTCGCCTTGGAAAGCAAAAATGATCACGATACTTGTCATTCGAGAACAGCCTCTCCAACTAACTCACCCAAGCAGGGCGGAACCTTTTTTTTGGTTTAATATTCGTCCCGCCCAATTGTGGATTGAGAATCATCAGGTGATGCGTGGCGGAGGTGGGATTTTATTCGAATTGGATCGACAAGTAATTGATGATCATTTGCTGCGAATGAGTACAACATGTACAAGGTGTAGCTGTAGCTCTCTTTTAAAACAATGCGGGCAAACGGAGTCGAGACATAGGTTAAAGTTTTAGATTTTCATTTTTTTGAAAAAAAAACCTGTTCAATGAGGTCATTGCACACCTCTGGAGCCTCAGACCCAGCCTCCTGGCTCTGTGCTAGGGACACGACCACTGTACCACAAAAGGTACATCTAGGGCTCTTAGTCCTATGTGTTAACCAATTACCCTGTGGCAAAGAGAATAAAGTTTGATGAGTAAGTATAATGTTCATTTTGACTAGGATGTGGGCACAGGTGAGGCTGTGTATTACTGCAGGAAACAAGAGGCCGTTGTCATGGCAGGTGTCAAGTACAGTGGGATTTATAGAAGAGAAAGGGGAGGGAAAGAAGATTCCAGGGAGTTGTGGGTAACAACACTTTCCACATTAATTACCTAAAAGCAACAGATGTAATGAGTTGAAAGGGCTCTAACAAAACAGATGATGAGAAAAGGCATGTCCTGCCATTCATTCTTTTCCTTTCACTGAACAACTTTTGGTACAGGGATGTGGGGATGGGCATTTTGCCAGCACTGCCAATTTCAAGGATCTTGTTTGCAGGTCTGACTGTAGTGAAAAACATAGCTCATTCATGGGTCCATGATCGATATGTAACTTCCCAAGAGGAAGATCCTTGTATCAGCAAATCCTGCTGAGTGAATGCTGATGGGATGGTTTGTTCCTCCACTGATGCTTAAAAACAGCAGGAAGCATAAGGTCCCTCAAACCTATTCTGGCATTCAATGAATTCATGTTAATTCCAGAACTGTAATTCCACCTTCATTCAAAATCCTTTAATAACTTTGGTTAGCAAAGCAAACTATCATTCTCAGATTTAAAATTAGTAATTGAACCATAATCAATTGTCATTTATGAAAGTAGATTCTAAATTTTTACTCTTTGTGAGTAGAAATTTATTTAACTCCTGAAAGGGCTGGTTCTAATTCTTTTTGGAACTAATTTATCTTCACCAACACTATCAGTTCTCCATAGTACCTAATGATCTTCAATCAAGTCACTTCTTATCCTTCTTAATTCCGACGAGTAAAATACTAGTTTGTGTAATCTCCCTCAGTAATCTAAACGTTGTCTCCATCTGTCATGTTGGTACATTTACATGATACTTTCTCCAAGGTTAGTATATACTTCCTAAGGTGTGGCATCTCGAGTTATTCATAGTATTTCATTTATAACTTAATGAGGGCTTTGTTATTGTCACACAATTGACGTTCTTTACATTGTAATCTCCTAGATTATAGTGGAGACTTATATTTGGAGTCTATAGGCTTCCCATGCTTCTGGGTAAATCAGAAAGGTGCAAAGCTTGAACATTTTCCCGTGTAGCGAACATGTCCTTGTATATGAATGTTATGTCATGCTAACAAGTGTACATGAGCCATGTTACAAGCTCAACAGGTTATCTTAAATGAGCTGTTAGTTTAGTTATCAGCTCATTCATGATTGTTCAGCAACAGCTATCCAATTACATCTGACAATAGAGATTCCCTCTTCCCTATTTCTTTTACTAGGACAATGTCTTAGCCAATCAGAGACAACTTGCTGACCAACCAGCACCTGTTTTCTCCTGTAGTGTATATTGTTGTCGCCATTTGAAATTTGACATTCTAACATTTATACTGAAAGTCCCAAGACAAGAAGATTCATCACTTTGTCCTTGTTTTCAATAATATTCAAGGTCTTTATAACTAAGCAACCCTTTTAAGTGTCGCTTTGTAATTTTATGTCTTTCTCAAATCCTTCACTGGATTATCAGTCTGCTTATCCAATAATATTGGAATAGCAGAAATTTCCAACAATGAAATATTGGGAAGACTGAAGCTATTGTTTTTCACTGCCACAACATGAGCCTGTGAAGATGTATCTGCACCATTACCAAGTTTCCACCTCCATAGTATTGCTTGATTTCACTCCTGCTGAACCCTCATTCATACCTTTGATACCTCCATGCTTGACTATTCCAACATGCCCCTGGCTGATCTCCCACGTCCTACCTCACAAAAACTTTGGACCGTCCAAAATAGTGTTTTGCTCACGCTAAGGTGCTATATAAGTATAATTTTTTGTTGTGTGCTTTATTAAGATTGCTTACAATTATACCTGTCTTTGTATTATTAATCATCATTAAATACTGTGAATTGTTAAGACCCTATGACGGATTCTTCTGGGACACCACTTGTCACAATCTGCCAGTTTAAGTTCCTGTCCTTTAACTATACTGTCTGTCTCCTTCCAGTGAGACATTTTCCTAACTGGGGCAATAATGTCTTCAGTTCCATGAACTTCGATATTACCTAACAGTCCGTTATAAGGTCTGTTAAATGTTTACTAGAAGTCCAGCTATATAACAACCAAAGATATTCACCTGTTCACTGCCTCAGTCGTCCAGTTTATTGGGCTTGAGCTAACCTATGGAAAGCTCAGCTAACTCACTGCCGACACCAGAAAAATGTTCATAGTTAATTACTTTTTGCACCTGCATCCTTTTGTTTCTCTTCCTCCAACATGGAATTTATGTAAAGTGCGGACCTCACTGCGAAGCCCATTTTGGAGTTCAAATACTTGCTGTCTGATTTCCTTTAAATATGAGACTGTCCACAGCTTATGTGAATATAGTCAATGGCCGTGACTGCAAACATTTGCACATACCTTCAGTTAATCTCATGAAATTCTCAAAAGTCTGCAAAAGCAACCTTACTTTCCATAGCAACTTCTACCTTGATAATCCGAGATCCTGGTATCCCCACCTGTTCCATAGTGACATAGAATCCTTATGATACAGAGGAACTTAGGATAGATGACATCAGCCCACGAACTTGACAGAGCAATTTACTGTCTTTCAGTTTAGTGTATTCGCTACTCACAATGCGGCTGCCCCTACATTGGAGCACGAAGCACAAAGTAGATGGCAGCTTTGTAAAGCATCTTTGTTCATTTGCAAACATTACTCCAAGCTTCAATTAGTTACCATTTGAATCCTTTTAAATGGTCTCGCCCTTTAAATACAGATATGTTTGGTTCTGTGGGGCTTATTAACTAAGGTAACAAGAAGGTTGGGCACCTTTTGAGGAGCTTATACTTTATTTATTTTGGAAATTAGTTTTGATAGGCAATTGTTCAGCACTGTTTGAAGCATTGATCATGTTGTAATCAATTCCTGTGCTGCAACGACACAGGATTGAATTTTCCTTTTGTTTGGAATGGTAATACATAGAGCAGGAAAGGATGTGACATAACAAGGTGTGGAGCTGAATGAACACAGCAGGCCAGGCAGCATCAGTGGAGCAGGAAAGCTGACGTTTCGGGTCAGGACCCTTCTTCAGAAAAAGGGTCCAGTCCCGAAAAGTCAGCTTTCCTGCTCCTCTGATGCTGCCTGGCCTGCTGTGTTCATCCAGCTCCACACCTTGGTATCTCAGACTCCAGCATCGGCAGTTCCTACTATCTCCAAAGGATGTGACATGTTTGATTTCTTGTCTAGTATTGACAATTGTGGATAAAAGCAAACCACTGTGGATGCTGGAGGTCTGAAATAAGTGCTGGAGAAACTCAACAGGTCCAGTAGCATCTGTGGAGAGAGAAACTGCATTCTGAAGGTAAGTTATGTTGGACTCTAAATGTTAACTCTGTTTCTCTCTCCACAAATAATCTAAACATTTTAAATTTCTTTGGCATTTTCTGTTGACAATTGTGAATGCTGGTTCACCAGAATCAAACATCTTTGGACTTGAGTAACTAAAGTAAATGGGAGAGTGAGAAAGTACCAATTTTAAATTAAATACTTTTCATAGTCTCAGGACATACCAAAGCACTTTTCATCTGATTAAGTACTTTTAAAGTACAATTGTATGAAGAAGGAATATATGCAAAACTTTAATGATTCTCTGACAGGGAATGTTATCAAATAATCCTGTTCAAATTATTTCAGAAAGCGTGAGTTTGATACACGAGCAGTTAGTAGTTTGTACCTTGAGACTTAGATTCGTGAGATGCAATTCTTTGGTACCTGTTATCTTTCTACAATATTATAATACTTATTACGTATGTTGTGTGATGGTAGCAGCTGCCAAGAACTGACTGAAAATGCTGCTGCACTGCATGCTATTGATATCTGATGACATATGATCCACAGGATTAAATATTTAATGCTGTAATTGCAAACACCTCACAAAATAAAAACGTTAATTTGTAAATTCTACAGAAAACTATTGACTAGGAACAAAATCAGAAATTGCTGGGAAAACTCAGTAGGTCTGTCAGCATCTGTTGAGAGAAAGCAGGATTAATGTTTTGGGTCCAGTGACCCTTCTTTAGAACTCAAGTATTAGCTAGGAGTTTGCTGCAAGGCTTGATGCCTGCAGTTTTAAAAAAAATCATTGCAGCCCTTGGAGTGCATCAAACTCGACAGTGTGTCTGTCATTCTATCCATTGTAATGGGTTTTTGTGGTTATATGGAGACCAGAAGCCGTCCCCTGGACTTGTAATTAATGTGCATGGGTGGTTTAAGCTGCTCCATTTGCTTGCTGGATCCTTTCATCATGCTATCTCACCACTGGTATAATGTATAGTGTCACTTTTATCCATGAAGTTTCCATACAATCATGTACTTCTCAAATTGAGGCAGAGCTACACATGTTTGGAGAGAGCTCCAGATGTGACTGCAGTCTATGATGCTCAACAACAGATGCATAGATGAAAAATGAATTTACCAATCTGGAGCTTTATGAGTGCCACAAATTCATTTAGTTCAGCAAGAAAACAAATTCAGAAGTTGGACCGAAGGATCTGTTTCTGTGCTGTCTGACTTTATGACTCCAATAATTATGTCATTCTGTCTGCTGGAA